ACGATGTCGTTTAGTTCTCCTAAACACGTTTTGAATGCAGAATTGCCTGCGCTATAGAAATGCTCCATTACTTCAGGGTTTTTGCTTAAGGGTGGGTCCTAGAATGAACGCTGAATTGTGCAATAAATGTTCACTAAATGCAGTTTTAGGAATTGGCTATTTCAGACTACATGAATGTAGACGATTTTTGTTTTTTCTAATCATGTTAAAGAAATGCTGTCGCATAGTTTAAGTCTCTTGTTAATGGACCAAGTTTTTGTTTTTGTTCGTCTGTGCAGTTTTTGTCACATGGGCTATAAAGTGACTGCATATAAGGACAGTGCAAACCTGAATTCTCTGCTACATTCTTATGTTCAAACTTACAATACAAAGAAGTCCTGGACAAAGAGGTGGAGAGCGAGCGGGGGGAATTTTTGTTTTTGGAGTGGGCAAGAACTATGGATTTCTGCGAGTGATCAGTTTTCACTTGTAAATAGAAAAATATCAATAGAACATCGTGTTTCTTTTTGAAACAATACTAGCCCATTTTTTACGGGACTAATCAAAATTTGTCTCAATTCAAAAAATTCTGATTATCTGCGTGAAATATTCCTCGCTAAATTCACGCCTCGCTGTACCAAATAATGGTCCCCTTTCCTCTCCCCTTTTCCCGAAAATTTGTAAGTCATTGGAACCACCTTTCAGCGTGAAAAGAAAAGCATTTATTCTTGGTTCTATAGGGGGGGGGGACACAATTCAAGGTAGTACAAGTCTTCTTATTGATACCAATCACGTCTATTCCTTTTGTATTCAGTTCAGTTTTCGTAAAATTTCCTGTTTCATTCCCTAGTTTGTTACTCTCCGTTACGGCATTATGTTGCTGTGCTGTGCTAGTGCTTCGCTTTTAGGTCTTCAAAACACAATCAGCGCCCTTCCTATCGCGTGTTTACAACAGTAGTGATTGCACTCCAATAAAAGATGTAATCATTTTGACAGATGCAATAGAATGATGTCAATAACATCGACAGGGGGGCGGGTGAAAGTGTGAACTCGGCGGGTGGTGTCCATTACGTACATAGAGATATGTAGATAGCATGTTGCAAGCAGTTTGTCCGTCGTGTCGCGGCGCAAACAAAGTGTGAGTAGATTTAGCGGGCGGGCGTGATTTTTCCGCTATTGCGGGAGCAAGGGGGGGGGTGAGATGGGGTGGCGGGTGTATGAATTCGATCGAGGCTACACGCACCACAGCCAGTTCGCATGTGCCTCGTCGGCCAGCCAGCCACATCTCGTCCTCGTCGTGCCTCCATCACTGGCTAGCCGTCATGATGTATCGATCTTGGGGCGAAGAGTACGAGTGGCCCCCGATAGAGCACAGCCTCGGCCGGCAGCGGCGGGGTGGCACTTATAGGGGGATGGCAACCAGCCAGCCAGCTTCTTTGGAGAGTCTTCTGCCCACTTCAAGCACATACACATCTCGCTTAGTAGCACATTTCCACCCCCTTGGCTCCACCAGCAGCCAGCTGTTTACGCAGCATCATCCCCTCCCATGGCGTGTGTTGTTTGTACGAGAGGCATCAACCTCGCTACAAGTTGTGCATGTGCGTCTCATGCCAACTGTTTTCGCACATTGCAAAAGAGCTATTGTGCCCCCCCCCCCCGCCTCCCTTTTCTCTCCTCAGCACAGCCGCTTCTTTCCACCACCACTACCAACAAGCAGCCACTTCTTCCAACACCTTCACAATCCCCCATGGCACACGCAAAACAGCAGTTTTGTTCGGCACTTGCGTCGTAATAACGCTCCTGTTCGGAGGGGCCATAAATGGAAAGAATTCGCGAGCGCTGTGGTGTTTCTTTTTCACATGCGTGTTGTTCTCAATGTTGTTTTCGATGCGATTTTCACGTCGACCCCGCCGACTCTCGCCCCGCTTGTTTTCGAATCCACTCTACGTGCAGTTCTGCTCCTGTGACTGTTCCACATTTTATTATTTGCTTGCTCTAGCGATTGTGTGGTGGGTGTTTCAAATGTTATTGTTCTCTTTTATAATGATTGATTTCATACTAATACAATGGAATTGGTCATTATCGAGTCTGTTGTAGTGAAGGGACACCTCATTTGACACAGCTAATTTCCTTCCTTTGTAGTTCTCATTTGCACGTTTGAATTAGCCAAAAGCTTTTACCCCTGAAAACAATTTTCTCTGGATTAGCAATACTCTTTTTCATTATGAATTCTATTCTGGAATTTAGGTTGGTGTATGTCTTTTTTATGACCTGGGAATGCGATAATGACCTAATTTGGAATAGAGTGCAGATTGACATTGAAGAAAACAGAAATTCCGCGATCTTTAGTACACACTACTATAACACTTTTACGATTTCGATGTCGTAAACCTCCTCTTCTTTCATTTAATAGTGTTCTAACCAGATCGCTTCGAAGATGCCCTTGAAATGATGTTTCCTGACCCTTGCACTCATGTTTTGCCACCCCCTGCCATTATGAAAATGTTGATTTATTGTCATACCTTCTCACATCTTCTTTACATTCTTTCAAGTAACAAATTGTCTTTTTGTTGGTATTTTGACAATTGGAGCCTTTGTTCGTGGTTCGCATTCATAAACACATTGTCTTGCTTCTAATCTACTTGCATCTGGGACAAAGAAGCTTTTTTCGCTGGATTTTTTCGATCTTTGTTGTTGGCGGCCGTATCATACGTGCGATAGGGACGCATATATTTTTTTCCAGAAGCTCTTTGGGTTAATGATGGTCTCCATTGTGTGTTTTTTCCTTGCTTTTGGGATGTGAAAAAATAATGCTAGCACATTTTTCACACAAACAGTGAAAAGGGCAAAAGATTTATTTTCCTTTTTTTTTCATCGTTCTGGTTAGCTTCAGTCACGTTCCTTTTCCGCGTTTTTTTTTTGTTATGCCCAAGGGGCGCCGTAAAAATAAGCAAGGTGTGGAGGTATATACTGTTATTTTTGTTCGTACCTGCTGTCATTTTTTTTTTCAATTTTTCTGTTTAAATCTTTGCCCTGTTTATCACACCTAGACACTAATCTATAAATACTGCATCGTAGCAGTGTGAAGTCTGCTGTTATTGTACTTGACACGTTGATCGAAAGGGGGTGGGGGGGGGGGTGCTGTTTATATTTTTCTGCGATGGCAAGGCGAAAGAGTGCCTCGGTACGTCTCGTGCTCTCCAGTCGTTTATCTGCTCTCCATCTCGTACGGCTGCTACTATTGTCCATTCAGTGGTTTTTCCAAGCAAAGGTGTTTTTTTAGTTGTTTAGGAATTTTTCTGGATGAGAAAAAAGCAAAATTTCCATGTAGCTGTTACTCGATATGTTATTAATTTTTTTCGCCAAAAACTTCAGTTCAAAACAGCCATCAGCGTCACCGACTTGATGTGTTCCATTTATCTCGATGAAAATGTTTCACAGCATCAACGTTACTCGATGTACGTTTTTTAAACCTTTCAATCTATTGGAAATGCAGATTTCCAAGATTTGTTGAGCGTTTATGACGATTGCAGAACCAGTTGCGATTCCCATTTTTTGTTAGTTGAGAGAATCGATCGCATTTGAATTTATTCTGCATCCATGTGTATGTTCCGTGATGTTGAAATCTTCTCATTAGTCATCGTCCTACTTTTTTATGCTTTTCTCATTATTCATGTCCTCTATGTGACTGTTGCATTCGCGTTCGTTCCCGAAAAAGTTTGCCAAGTATAAAAAAGGATAATCTTGTGCCAGTGGTAAGTGCTGTTTTTGTGCATACCGTACTCCTGAATTTGGACTGTTTGTTAAGTCATGTAAGTAATGGGTTTGTGAGTTATGTGATGAGGAAAACTGATTGGGAATAAGAGAGAAACTTTCGTTTTATTTCATCTGAGAGTAGTTTTTGCACTTTTATTATATTGTTTTCATTATGAATTTCAATGTTGTGCGAAAATAGTTGTTATCTGTGTTTGCGGCTCCATTTATGTCAATTTTAAAAATAGGAAAAACCGAGAATACGCGAGATTCCGAAAAATGAAAAAAATATTCTTGTCTGATCGAAAGCCTCCAAACCCAAGTTATCTGCGTACTAGTATTTCTTACCAGCAAAAAAAATCCAGACGTGAAAGAAAATGAATCGAGAATGTGAAAATAAAGATAAAAAGTTAATGAATCTTATAGTTCTAAGGTCCCAAAATTTGTTATAACTTATTTATGTGCCAATCAAAAAATAAGCATAGGTTATCATCAAGGAAAAATTCGAGTCCCAAAAAACTCACTAAAAAAGTCAGTTTAAGAATCCGAAAAAATTATATGGTTCATCTGGTGGTAAGCACCTACACTGTCATATTATTGTGTATATACGCTAGTAAAAAAATAAGCTATAGAAAAAATTATTCATGCTAGGAGAGATGGTGGATCCCGAAGGGTTAAGGCAAAAGGAAAGGGTATTTCATGGTAGATTCGTCGTTGAAGTCAATAGCTTTGCCTGCAGCTGCTCTGCCATGTCTTCTTTCCTATCACTATATTTTTGTTCTGAAGCTGTATTTCTTTACTTAACCACTCCCACGCCAATTTTTGCGCCGTTATCGCTGTTCTTCCACTCACTCTCGTGTCTCGTAATTGGCGCAAAATTTTCGAATGTCAACGTAAGCAGAATCATGCGTATCAGATTTCAGAGACCCATCGTTATTTGCACAGGCCGTGATGGTGGAAGCAGCAGCAGCGGCAGCAGCTTCCGTTGTTATGTACAAGGTCTCTCTGTGTGTAGCGGAGTCGTGGCCATTTGTGAACAGCCAAGCACATCGTTTTGATGTACACTCATCTATTTTTATCGCTTTTCGGCGCTCTATGCATACTCTTAGTTTTTTCCCCCCAATCGCATCGATTATTCTCTCTCCACTTTTGAGCTCATCTATAATACTGCAATAGTATTGCCTATCGTTTTTTTTTTGCTGTCGATTTGAAATTCTCCATATTTCAAATCTCGTCTGCCTCTGACTCATTTCGCCATTTCGTTTCGCGTTCGATTCGATTCGTTCCAGCACAGATACTCTTTAGCAAACATATGCTTTGAAGCAAGGCAACGTTGAAGTTAATCCTTCGCTCCGAACGAGCAATTTCTTCGCTGCTCTCTCTCTCTCCCTACACTTATTTCTGCTCCGTTTGATGTGTGCTTATACAATAATGATTTCCTTTTCTCCGAAACTTTTTTTAGATTTTACTTGCCGCATATTCAGCGCCCAAGTTTTTCTCCCACCCAAATATTGCCATATTTGTGAGTGCTCTGGTCGTTTGTTCTCATGCATGCATACTTCTATGTTTATGCCTATTGGTTTGGAATTTAGTTGCCTCGCGACAATGTGTTCTTTTATTTGTCTCGTGAAAAATTAATGAGTTTTGTTCGCGCTATCGACTATGTGGCTACTTTGCAGAGCGAATGGGTAAGGACGGAGACCCCGGGGGCCAAGCAACTAGTTCCAAGGACCCCAAAATGCAAGCGGCTAAAGTGCGATTGTTGGATGGGACATACAAGGAATTCGAATTGCATGTGAGTTGATCCGCTTCTTAAATTTTTGCACAAGAAAAAAAACCATAAAAAACAATCGATATTTGTTATCTCCGTACCAGGGCAAAGTTCTCGCTATTAAGTGCTGAAAATGTTGACATTTTTGTAAAAGTACTAACATGGTAAAGTAAGGTTACCGAAAAAAAACCTCAAAGTGGGTAGTACGGTAGCTCTAGTTCTTCTCTTCGCTATTTACTCACTTTTTTCAATTTTTCTTTCCCATTCTGATCCGGTTGCTGAGCAATTCTCCACCACGAGCGAAACACATGTGTTTTGAAGAGCATGTGGTGGAGTGAAGAGCTAAAATATGCCATTACACTGTGTATAAAAATCCAATTGTATTGAGTGTATGGGCTAATTTTGCCATACGACATTCCACTGTACACTAAAAGTGTGTGAAAAACATTTTGAATGAAGGCAGTATTGTCTGCTTGACTGGTTGTTTGGGGTTGTTTACGCCTTTTGGGTGATGATATATGCACTGCCGACTTTGAAATAGTTTGTCATTTTGATGTGCGTAGTAAAGTTTTGCAATTTCATCGGAAGTTCTTACAACATAGTTGTAAAACGTCTGGGGAAAACGTGAAATGTTTTGGAGTCAGTCCGTCCCAATTGTTGCCAAAAATGCTTCAAAAAATCTATAAGAAATTATCAGTTTGCTGCTATCGCCACAGGAACATTCCCCCAAAAATTGATTGCAAACTGGTTTTTGATGATCACGCTTCAGCAAATTTTTTCCAATAATGATGACTCAGCGATGAAACGTCCCATTGAAAGAAAAAAATTGTTTGGGAATGAGAGGAACGGTGGAGAGGGAACGGGAAACAACTTTTTCAGCCATGCATGTGAAGAAAGCAGCCAGATGTGAGCATGAATGTATGGAATCGAGAGTTTGGCTGGGGGGGGGGGGGAGGATTCGAAGCGGCTCTTAGTTTTGATTAGAAAAGTAAAAATATGTTATTGTAATATAATACAATCAGCCAACAAACACTTACTGTGGAAAATATCCTTATCAATTTTTTCTAGGTTTCGATATTTTGAGATCCCATTATAGTCTTAAAAGGACATAACTCAAAATTATCGCAAATTTTGTCATTATTTTACGTAATTACTCGGCTGAGAGGTAATTTTTAAAGATTATTTGGCTTTTCTTGATGTGAATTTTTAAGAATAACAAACGTGCATGCAAGGTTTATCAGCAAAATTTTTACGAACATTGAAAGTGGAAATTTTTTGGAAATCTTCTATGTTGTATGTTTTATCTGATATGAATCATTTTTTATTTATGCTGTTTATACATACAGTATTATGAAAGAATGGCGGTGATTGCAATAAACTTAGGGTTGGATCCACGGTTCTAGTTTACTTTGGTATGTAAAAAATTGCCAGTGATTTATTCGCAAAATGAAGAAATTATCGGGCAAAATTTTTCCGCTCTTTTTGCGTATTCAAGAGTTTCAAATCAGTAATATTTTTTTCACCGTAGTCTGGATTTTTTGCTGACTTTATCTAGATTAGTATTTGACTACACGAGTCTGAGAACGAGTCTATCATATTTCAAATGTTCGCCCAGTCACCGTTAGTGAGTCAGACTTTGAGCGCACATTTTACGAATTGAATGCTATGTGACACATGAATATCGTAACATTTGGTCACGAGACAATTTTTTTCATCAGTAAGCAGCTCCTTGGAATGTTTATGAAGTATTGAAAATATTTTTTGGAGATACACCAAGGTGATAAGTGAGTGTACTTTGATTCACTAATGAGAACGGAACGATTCGACAGCCATCTGCAAACGAATTAATTCGTCCACATCGCACTTTTTTAGTGCGTGGGAATTGATATATGTACTGATACGATTGTAAATTAGAAGACAATTGTCTCCGATTCCGTTTGCTGTCATCGCCATGTCCATGAAAATTGAGCGCAAATGTGTTTTGGACATTTCGGGCGTGGTTGGAGTTGCGTGTCTGATTAGGATGCCCCAATTCAATTAAGCTTTTTAGTACGTCCGTTTCCGTAGAAAGTGCACGATGCGGCATGCATTTTGCAGGGTGTGATTGTTTGGAGGGAGAAACGGGGGCGGGGGAAGGAGGGGGGGGGGAGCTAATTTGTAGTATCTAGGCAAATCGGGGTACTTGGTATCCATATATGAATACTGATTAGGAGGCTTCAGCCAAGTTATTGCTCAAGCGGCAGCTCACACAGTTCAGTCTTCGCTGAGAAATTCAACTGCGAAATCTCGCCCAAGACCGTATTTTTACTGGGCCAACGAACAAGCGATTATGGTATTGGGCGTCAGTCTAGATTCAAATTTCTCGGTTACAAATAAATCATCCGAGCTGTCGCTTGGGTAATGGCTTAGCCATTGTCTCCCATTCGGTACCAACATAAAAAGTCTTTTCTTCTGTGGAATTTTCATTCCAGCCTTTACCCCTTGTTAGTTGTTCACTTTTTAGTGTTGGTGTATATAGCTGCATTTTCCACGCCAAAATTGCTTTTGAATCCATTGTTGAATGCCGTGCGCGATAGGCAGTGATGAAAAGCATTTCGTAACAAATAAAATAAGCGTTCGATGACGATGAACAGCTCGTGCTTTGAATTGCAATCGAAATGGAAATCTGCCACAAACCCTACGCTGAATCGATTTTATCGCTGGTGGGGGGAAAGTTGTGGATCGTTGCCAAAGTTAGAGAAGTTTGCGAAGTTTCTTCAAGTGAAAGCAACTCCGGGAATCTCTTTTGAAGATTTCGCTGAGTTCCTCTGTTTTGGCAAAGCAATTTACTACTAAAGCAAATTGAAAAGTGTAAATGCAGGCGGTTCTGAACAGTGCCAGAGGTTTTCTGTGAATTGTCTAAGAATCTTCTAGAAAGGCCACAGCATGAGGATATCCAAGAAAAAAGGTTGAAAGAGATGCTTCAGTTTGGAAACATGCCTACTACAAAGGCGAAGAATGTGAAAAGAAATCTTCATGGATCTGGAAAAGAACCCGCTGTCTGGTTTGATATTGGGGCACTTGGAAGAGTATCTGTGTACGTAACAAGCATTGACATTGATAATCTTCTGATGGGAAGGAGTCTACAAGCTCGAAATCATGTTACTTGAATGTTTTGGCGTCAACTTGAAAATATCATAAAAATCATGATCCTTATATCATGTGGTTCATAGCTGGAAAAGAAAACATTCCCATAGCTGCGGTTCCGAGGTTTTTTGTCACTATTTTTCGACCATCACATTCAGATTTTGTAAATGACAACAAATTTGGTCACATCTTAGAGGAATTTGCTTTGCGTTTGGCGGGTAATGAAATGAGAATTGGATGCGAATCTTTTTTTTTCTATTTACATGTGACGCATACTGGTTGTCAGGTGTCATTGATGTGTATTCTATGTGTTTCTTAACGAATCAAAATATGACATTTTTGCAATAACATGAAAAAGTTGAATGAATGACCATATGACTTGTTTTCTTCGTCTCTAGTCGTACTAGTCAGATGCGAAGCCAGATGGTGTACTGCGTTTTTTGTCTTAGCAAGTGAAAGCGCATCTGTCAAGGCTTTTATGTGAGTAGTTTATGTTCCTCGGAGTACATGTGAAATTATGCGTAGCAGATTTATTGGGTTTCCAGTGGTTTGGAAAGATTTATTGCTTGTTTGTTGGGATATTCGTTAACGTGGGAAATGTGAATTGGCACAGCACTTGGCACCAGGTGGTACACTAGTGCACATAAACTTTTGGGGGTTTTTTGGGAAGTGGGAAAATATTCTGGGATTTTTTTCTGGTCATAAATAGGTCGAAAGAGTGGGAAGATTCTTGGGTGAAGGTAAGTTTTTCTCTGATGAATATTTCCTGTCAAACATAATTTCGCGAAGCAGAAATCATACATCAGAGTTGACTTCTTCTATTACATCTAAGAATCTTCCCAGTCTTTCGAGTTGTTATGAACCACACATAGCTGAAAAGGTTTTGAAAATTCCTGTTTCAAAAGATGTATATCTTTTACCGTTTTGCTTTGGAGGCAGTGTTGAGTGGAATCATCTTTTACATGTTGGAAACAAAGCTACAAGGCCAAAATTCCACAAATATTACAGCTCTGATGATTTTTTCTTGTCCAGGTTGATGCTGTTTATTATCAAAAATTCCCTTTTCAGCGTGGCTCAGATGGTGAAGCGCTATTCGCTCTTGTAAGTGCTGATCTGTCCATCGAAGAGCGCGAGTATTTTTCCCTCTGTTTTTACGACAACGAGGGAACACGACATTGGCTGTATAACGACAAGAAAATACTCAGACAGCTCAAAGGTAGGCGTTTTTGGCACATCATGTGCCGTACGTTTTTTATTACAACGTTCTTGGCAGCGCATGTGCTTTCGTATAGTGCGACCGGATGTAAACAAAAATACCACATAGTGAAGGGTGGAGTGTAAAGTTTTGCGAGTTGTATTGTTTCTCACAAATTCTTAGAGGCGGGGGAGGTAGAGTTGATGTTAGATCCCAAAAAAGCTATTTATTTCTCCACTTCACAAGAAAACAACTTTTGCAAGCGTTTTACATGGTCTTACCGCTACTATAAACATTCAAGCGCTTTTTTTCTTTTCGACCCGCTCGTGACAGTTTGAAATCCCTTTGTTTACGGGAACGTATTTTTCGAGGCCTCATGAATATGCAGTAGACGAAAATGCCGTCTGAAAAAAAACTGTAACGAACGGAATTGTGCCTGAAACTAGTTTAGAGCGGGATCGTTCAGTAAAACAATTTGCTGCACTCAGCGTTACAGTTTTGTGGAACAATGAGAATTATTTTGGGTTAGTGGAGATGTGGAATGAGGGTCTTTAAAAACGCAGTATTAGTCCAAGCGCCTGTCTGCTTTTGTGAAGTAAATAGAAGAGCCTACGAATAAATAGAAAATTGTTTTCTTGCGAGATGATCACGCATTTTTGAAGTAAAATAAATATCAAACGATGAGGTCTCAAGTAGAAGTTTGACAGTGTAGAGTGGAGGAGATTGTTGGTAAACGAAAATGATTGCTTTGCAAATCTCTAGGGTTCCTTGGTCACGGAAATAACTATGTTTATGTATGATTTGGTAAAAGAATTCTCTTTTGCAGGCCTTCCGTGGGAGTTCTGTTACGAGGTCAAATTCTATCCGACCGCACCATCTTCACTTAATGATGATCATGCACGATATAATCTTTTCCTACAATTAAGGAATGATGTTAGTACTGGGAGGTAGGTTTGAACTTTAATGTTCTAGGTTGAAAATCCTAAAATTTTGGTCCGATGTGCCTGCTAAATTAACTTTTCGGGATTTAAGACACCCTCATGAGCTTATTTTTAGACCATACTTCGGTTCCAAATATATCGTACATCAGTTTTGTACAAGGAATACTGGTTTGGGGGGGGGGGGGGACAGTTTTTGTCATTGTGCCATCTGTTGGGCGGAGTTTGCCATTTTGTCTAATGGGGCGGAGTTTGCCATTCTGGCCTCTAATGGGGTGGAGCCATATTTCCTTATCTTTTTTCTTGTTTGAAGAAGTCACGGCAGATAATAGTATAAATGTATCACGTTCTTAGTATACGCTCCAAATAATAGCTTTTTCGAAGGTGTTAAACTCGGACCAAAATTTTGTAACAATTTCGTCAGAAGGACTTTTTAATTTTTTTCATGACTCAATTCTTTTAGACTGCCAGCAACACTAGAGACACATGCTACACTAGGTTCGTTAGTGGCTCAAGCCGAATTCGGTGATGCTAAGGCAACACCGGAATACGAACAATATTTACGTTCAACGAAATTTGCCCCACAAATGAGTGATCAGTTGATCGAAATGATAGCACAGAAACATAAGGAGCATAAGTAAGTTACCCTTCTGCAGACTATTTCTCTAGAAATTGTTTGAAAATATTTTCTTTGCTTTTCCAGAGGTTTAACGCCATCAGAAGCGGAAAATCTGTATCTGGACACATGCAAACAGCAGACGATGTATGGTATCTTCGTCTTCAATGCCAAGGTAGGTTCCGTGTTCTTTGGCTTTACATTTATATTTACTATGATTTGAATTTTAGGACAGTAAAAATGCACCAGTTGGGATTGGAATATGTGCCCATGGAATTTATATCTATAAAGATCAAATCCGTGTGAATCGCTTCCCTTGGCAGGGCATCATCAAAATCTCTTATCGCAAAAATCAGTTTGCCATCAAGCTGAAAGCTGGAGAGGTACGAGCCTTTGCGATTTTTTTTGTAAGAAAGATAAGTAAGTGTTTTTAGATCGACAAAAAGGAAGCTACAGTAACGTATAAGATTGCTGACTATCAAGCCGCAAAACGAATTTGGAAGTGCGCCGTTGAGCATCACACATTCTTCAGGTATATATTATGGTTTCAATACCCATACTATCGATTTGTTTTTCTCTATCTTATCGAATCATTTTCTTTTTATATAGGCTCATTCAACCTGATGAAAAACCGAAATCATCGCTGTTCCGATGGGGATCAGCACGCTTCCGTTATCAAGGTCGTACCCAATTTCAAACGAAAATGGCATCACAAATGTTCGATAAGCCTTCTACAGTAGCTGTACAACGTGCAAGTAATGCACGTTTGACACATTCGCTTGATAATGGTTCGTTTTTTCTTTAATTTTTCTTTCAAAAATTTTTTTGCACGTGTTTCATCGCGTTAACATTTTTGATGTGAATTTATTTTCATGCCAAGGCTCAGAGGAAGTGACCAAGCAAATTTGGGACTTAGATTTTTTTATATATGTACAAGTGGCAGCTCATATGATTCATGTCTGGTAGAGAAATTCAAATCCAAACTCTTGTCTTGTCCAGTACCGTACTCTTTCTACGCGGACCAGTCAGCGTAATCGACTACGGTATTGCATGAGAGTTCAGAGCTAAATTTCTTGGCCACGAATGGATGCTATGAGCTGCCGTATGAACAATCCTCTCCATTAAACTCGAAGTGTAGGTATGCCTGTTAATATGTATAGGCTGCTGCATGACGAATGGGCAATATCTTTGGGCGCGAACGCGGTTTCATTAGCCGCAGAGCGCACGAGGCGCAGGATTTACAGTGGTGAAGATAAGCGCACGCAACGTTCGCTCCCGCTCAACTAATGCTGCTTGTGCGCCTTTGTCATGCAGCAGCCTTTAGTTTCCGTAGAACTCGTGGAACTCAAAAGAAAAAAGCGTGAACCAATCGCATACCTACGTTTTTGTGGGTGGATTTTCCTTGCTATTTTTTTCATCATTTTCCTTCTTCCTTTTTCAGTCAGATCATATTTTAGATCTTGTTTTAGCGCTTTTGGTGTATAGTTCGGTGTTTCAAAGTATTGAATTTCAGTGGCACACCCTCAAACCGCTAGCGAACAGGTGTCTCCATTGCATTATGCGGACAATGAGCTTGGTCGAGAGGTTCGTTTTTTTTTTTTAAATTTCGTTTTTGGTCCTGAGGATGATGTGAGCATCTTTTGTTCGAGTTACTCGGTTAACGAGTGTCCAACACGCAAAATTCGTTTGGCTGCTTTGGTAGGTGGCGGTGTTCACGATTGATGCTTTTCGATTAGTCTTGAACAGAGTCAAGCGAAGTGTGACAATTGAGTTATTTGAAATTTTGAGCTGAAGAGTATCAGATAAGCTGGCAAAGAGGTTAAGTCGGAGCTCGAAAAGAGGATAGTGATTGTAAAAATATAATTTTATCGGTATCTATCCCAACTCTCAGTTTAGATCTAACCATTTACCCCTACAGTCTAATATTTTTAGTATGATTTATCAAGTTGCACGGAATTTTCTAGTTTTCTCGAGATTTCCAGTCATTATTTGTCCCCACCAAAATTATCTTATGTTTCACCAAAGTTCGCAGCAGTGCTTAGAAATACTAAGAATGTAGGGCAGTTGAGGTAATAAATGGATCAAATAGAAAGAATTTCAAAAATTTGCAGAGGCTTCCTAAATTTTTCAGGTTTGCTTTCAAAAATTTATAACCTTCCCAATAAAAAAAATAAGATAACATAACTATCATTGCAAAATTGCGGTGAAAATATTATCATTAAAGATTTTGCTGACATTCGCTTTCTAATGCAACACGTCATTATCTGATAATGTTGCCTCTGAGTCGGTGTGATTGGCACAAGCTTTGCTTGCAAACTTGATCTCAAAATCAATCTTTATTGTTGTATAAAATCGTCAAACATTAACGCAAAATTCCAGCCAATGGCCTCGCCTGCCGTATCGTATGAAGTTTCTGGTCAAAATGAGAAACGGAAACTTGACGACAAGGTGGGTGCTGGTCTGCCATCTGATGATGATGAGCTTGTCTACACGCCTGTTGAATCGCCGTCATCTGCTGCTTATTATCTCTCAGAACGTTCCTCAGCCTATTCACCAAATTCAAATGATTATCCATACACGCAGCAAATGAGATCCGCTGCTGATACATACGCATGGAAATCTAGCGAGCATGATCGAAGTACATCTGCTGTCACATCGTCTGGTGGTGCTGGTCGTGTGTACTATCCTGGCACCGGTGAAACTTTTAGTGGAACGCGATCTTTACCCAAAGATAGTAGTGTTCACACTAAATCGTCCACATTTGACACGATCGAGAAACGAGCTGAAATGCAACCGCACCCAATTCACGATACTGTGCATGTGTATCATCCTGGCCATTATCAGGATCTTCGTCAACATCGTCAGCAACAAGCCGCCGCTGACCCGAACCTCAATGGTTTTACCCCGATGCGTAGTCTTGGCCCAGATGGCGAGATGGATCGTCATCCCATCCGATACTTTGTTGATGTACATCACTCTGGTTCCAGCCAGATCTCCCAAATAAGCCGAATTCGTCATCCGGGAAAAGAAGAAGTTGGCCCACCTATTCTATCGAGCTACGTCTTCTCCAAGAAATTCGCCACCCCTGACGCACCAATGCAGCGACTCGAACCGCTCCGAGAATTGCCAAGTCATAATATCCGTGCGTATTCGGCAATGTACCATCATGGCAGTTCTCACGAGGATGACATCCCGAATGTGCGCCTAATTGCACGGGTTATCCCACGCACTCCGTCGCAGGAAAACTTGAGGCCTGAGAGGGACTTTGCCACCACTTCAATGGAAACTTCTAGCAAGAAACGTTTGCATGAAGAGTCACCCAAGACGTCGAAGCACACTAAGAAGAAGCTGAAGAAAGAGGAGAAGAAGGAAGCTACTGCTTTGAAGGGCAAGGAATCGCCAGAGAAGAGAGCTGTAGCGACAACATCTTCTGGTGTCACTACTAGAGTCTTAAGTGAAAAGCAAGGTAGTGGGCAACCCGAGGAAGGAAAAGCTGGTTACAGTTCCACGTCTAGAGCCACTCGAGAGTCTCCACACAAGGAAGTAAAATCTGTCAGAACCGATGTGCATGGAGATACTTCGGGACGCGTTTTCCTCTCCGGAGGATGGCGCCACGAAGGTGAGGAACACATTGTGGAAAAGGAGCATGTACGTCCTGAGAGTTATGGATTACCGTCTACATCCTATGGAGGTCCGCTAGAAACCACATCTCATCAGCGTGACCTAGAGCCAGCACCATTGGGAGAACATGCCAAACCGTATCATCCCGGACAGTCGTGGAAGGAGAGTAAGACGGTGAAGACCATAGCCGTTCAACCCGGTTCTGTTGAGCATGAATTAAAAGGTGGACGAGAAGAAGTATCTACGGGCCAGTTTGGAAGTGACAGAGCGAGGAATGAAGCTTTCCCAACGTTCACGACCAGGTGGGGGAGATCTTCATCTGCGGGTCCAGAAGAAGAAGAACATAAAGTCCGCTTGATAGCGCTCGTTCGACCAAAGTCTGAGGAGGAAGAGGAGCCAGAAGTTAAAAAACCAAAGAAAGAGAAAGAGTCATCTGGACTGTTTGGCTTTTGGAAAGGAGGAAAGAAGAAATCACTTGAAGCTCAGCTTCCACCGGATGAGAGACCTGGTCCATCGGACATTACTAGTCCCGCTGGTCCATTGGATACTACCAGTCGGCAGAAAGATATCGAGAAAACTCCTATTCCCAAAGTGCCTCCCCCAGTTCCTTATAAACCCACTGCGATCACATCTGAAACTTCACAACGAACTCAACAGCAAACTGTTGTAAAACAAACGGGTCCGGTGGAATCCATCGATCGCCAGAAGGACTTGGAAAAGACTCCTGTCAAAGTGCCTCCACCTGTTCCATATAAACCGTCTTCGCTTGTAACCGAAACGCCTCGACGTACACAAGAGGAAACTGTGAAAACTGTTGTGAGGCAGACAGGCCCTCTGGATACTACTAAACCAGAAAAAGACATGGAAAAGATTCCCATCCAAGTGCCAACTCCTGTAGAGTATAAACCATCTAAGGAAATGACCGACACCACCCGGACCACCCATCGTACTCATCATCTTTTTGGCAGATGGCGCCATGAAGGTGAAGAGGAGACAATTGGAAAGGATCGTGTGCGGGCTTATGGATTACCGACTACATCATACCAAGGCCCTCTGGAGCACACGAAACGAATCGGTGACCTTGAGCCATCACCATTATGGGAACACACTAAAGCCTATCACCCCGGAGAGTCATGGAATGATCCTAATTACCACAAAAAACCTGCTCTTCCACCAGTTGCTAGCGAACGTACTAAAAAGAAAGCCGTCCTACATTTGAGATCAGCTGAGAAAGATAAAGAACAAGCAGGTACTGATGAGGAGGACGAACACAAAGTTCGGCTGATAGCGAGGGTACCTCATGGTGCAAGAGAGGAAGAGTCGTACGCTGCTAAAGGAGAGGAAGAATCAGCAGATAAGTCTCGCCGAGGTTTCCTCTTTGGCAGATGGCGCCATGAAGGAGATGAGGAAACCGTTGATAAAGCACGAGTTCGACCTGACACCTACCACATAAGGACGGATCCCTATCATGGTCCCCTTGATACTACTACCCGTATATCTGAACTTGAGCCAAAACCGTTATGGGACTACTCTCAAGCTTACCATAGTGGTCAATCTTGGGACGATGGCGGAAGCCGCTTATGGGGCACTAAGGAAACTAAGGAAGCCAAACCATCTACCTCTACGACTGTTGTTAAAGAGACCACTGAAAAAAGAGTTGAGAGCGAACATCCTGAAGGAAAGACAGCCACGCTTCATTTGAAGAAGACTCCTATGCAGAAGTCATCTTCTGCTGAAAGTGAAGAAGAGACTAGAAAGGTTAGACTGATAGCGCGCGTTGTGCACAGAGACACATCAGAAGACGAAACAGCGTCGAGATCAAGTAAGGATAAAGAATCATCTGGGCTGTTCGGTTTCTTCAAAGGCGGAAAGAGTAAGCGACATGAGAAAGGAGAGCCGATGGAAGAGTCTCATCTCCTTGCTGAGAAATATACAGGTCCCTTGGACACCGTTGATCGTCAAAAGGACATCGATAAGCTTCCATTTAATCCGCCACCTCCTGTGCCATACAAACCCAAGTCGGGAGGTACTGAACATGAGCAGCATGCCTATAAGCCTTCTGCACATGTGACAGAAACGACTCATCGACCGCAACTGTTTGGTCGTTGGCGTCATGAAGGTGATGAAGAGACCGTTGAGAAAGATAAAGTGCGAACTGAAACTTATGGGCTACCTGTAGGACCCTACAGTGGTCCTTTGGAATCGACTTCTCGCCATTCGGAATTGGATCCAACCCCATTGCGAGAACATGCCAAGGCCTACCACAGCGGTCAGTCATGGGACACTACCAAAGTTACCCATGGTGAAGCTGAACCGACTGGAAAGACCGCAACTAGCACTGTTACTGAAAGCAAGACTGTACTTCACAAGCGATCTCCGGTGAAGGAGAAGCATTCACCTATAACGAACGAAGAAGAAGCTGCAAAGGTCCGACTAATAGCATTAGTGTGTCCTGCTGACGAACAGCGCGAATCTCACCTGAAAGAAGTGGAGAATGAGCGTGCTAAAGCCGGTGTGACAGATGTGCCAAAAGTCCTAGAAGAGCACAGACAAGGACACACAGATAAGCAATCTCCTCATACCTCTGAAACGAAGCCTCGACATGGCTTCCTCTTTGGTAGATGGCGCCATGAGGGTGATGAAGAAACCGTAGAGAAAGATCGAGTACGAACTGAAATCTACGGTCTGAAAACTACCCCATACACTGGTCCACTTGAAAGTACCACTCGCTCATCTGAATTAGATCCGAAACCACTGTGGGACTACTCTCAAGCATACCACAGTGGTCAGTCATGGGACACTGGTAAGACAAAGACACCCAGTGCCCAGTCAGCTTCGAAAGAAAAAGAACCTGGCCTGAGGAAAGCTGTATTGCATTTGAAAACGACAGGAAAAGAAAAATCTCCATCTGGAATACAAGAAGAAGAAACGAGAAGAGTCAAGTTGATTGCACTTGTTCCTCCTAAACCTGAGGATGAAGCTGAAATCTCCACGCAGAGTAAAGCTAAAGACCATGAATCATCAGGATTGTTTGGTTTCTTCAAGAAAGGAAAAAGCAAACAGCATGTGCTGCAAAAAGAAGGATCTCCAACACAATATCCTACCAGTGAGCAATATGCTGGTCCGTTGGATAATACCCAACGACATAAGGACATTGATCAGCTACCTTTCAAGGCACCAGCAACTGTGGCCTATAAACCAACCACGGAAGAGTCGGACATAACTCAGCCTGGTCATCTTTTTGGCAGATGGCGCCATGAGGGTGAAGAGGAAACGGTCGATAAAAGCAAAGTGCGACCTGAAACCTATGTAACATCAACTACACAACATACTGGTCCACTTGATTCGACCCAGCGTCAACCTGAGCTGGAACCGACTCCATTGCAAGGTCATGCTCAGGTGTACCACAGTGGTCAATCTTGGGAAACGGGCAAAGGTACAAAAGCCGTTGCTGCTCAGTCCATTCCCAGAGATCAAGAGAAGAGCGAGAAAGAGCGCACTACAGAAAGAACAGCCGTGCTTCATCTGAAAGGATCTGATGTAAAAGAAAAATCTTCGCCAACAATTGAAGAAGAGACCAGAAGAATTAGATTAATTGCGCGAGTACGCCGAAGCGATGACGACGAGCTTGATACATCTAAGCCAGAAAAAGAGACTAAGCACAAAACGACCACTTCTCCTGGCTTTACGAAAGGAAAAGGTGAAAGCTTTGAAGCTCGCATCGAAAAGCTGAAAGATATCGCAAAAACTAAGCCGCAGGAGGCTAAGCGTGAGATAACTACTTCACCTGGCTATACGAGAGTAGAGAGTGAAAGCTATGAAGCTCA